AACTAATTCAAATGTCAGATATTACCAACGGAAATGCGTATTTTACTTTAGCTGTAACAGGTGTTTTAATCACCCAGACGTCTAGACTCAAATCAATATAGATAGAATGAATGTTTAATGAGTGAACATCTGTTACGAGATTGACTTTTTTCTTGAATTAGTGTGATTGTTATATATTTAATCGCAATATTTTGACGTGGGTTTTGTCGTGCATACTAGACAGGAAACATTATATGTAGTTCGTGGAATTAACTAATGAATACATGTTTGACACTGCTTATGTTATGCAAATTTTGTAGCCAAAAATGGTGTGTAATTGCAGTCGGTTTGAACACGTTTGATGCTACATTTTAGACATTTTTATGTATTTTTCTAGAATTTCTTTGTTGATTTTGAACCAAATAGATCCTAATTTTATGTTTCCATAATTTTAAGTGTTAATTGTTGAAAGACAAGTCATGTAAAGATGACACAACCCCCTACTTGTCAGATGTGATTATAGTTGGCTATGAATTATAAAGTTTGAATGTATGTGTATATGTACATAAAACCAGGTAGGAAGATTAAGTTGAAAATCAAAAGTATGTCACTCAAAGTTAACAGCTAGGACATCTTTATTAAATCTGGTAAAATTTGCATCAATTTTAACAAAAATTCACAACCAATTGAATATGGAAATTCAATTGAGTCAATATTAAATAGCAAATACATGAACTTTTTAGTTCACAACATATTAACAAAAATTCAAAATTAATCAAATATTCAAATTAGCTCATTAATTAAGTTGAAAGTCAATATTTGCATAGCGTACATCTTATATGAACAGATCAAGTAAGTCTATAACAAGTTTGGTCTCATTCGTACAATTAGTTCACAAGATATTAAGAAAAATTCAAAATTAGTTAAATATGCAAATGAGCTCATTAATTAAATTGAAACTCAATATTGCATAGCATACATCTTATATTGACAATTCAAGTCTCTACAAAGTTTGGTCTGATTTGGACTAGTCACAAAATATTAACAAGAATTCAAATTAATAATTAAATATGCAAATGAGCTCATTAATTGATTTCTTGAAAAAATAAATAAATGTGCATCTGTACCAGTAGTCACTCTGTCTTTGGTATGGTCCAGGCATCTCGGATTTTACAGGATTTTGACATTCAAAATGGCCGCCAGGCAGCCATATTTGATCAAATCAGGAAATAAATCCATGTGAATATGTATACCTCCTCACTGTGTTTTGTATACCTCATCACTGTGTCTTTGTACCTAGTATCATTGAAATCAGTCAAGGCATCTCTGAGCAATATCAATTGACAGACAAAAGCCATGATTAACAATCAAAATGGCTGCTAGTCGGCCATATTTGATCATTTCAAAAAAGTAAAACAATGTGCATCTGTATAGGTGGTCCCTTTGTCTTTGTAACAAGTCTCAACAAAATCAGTCAAGCCATCTCCGAGAAATGACGATAGACACACAAGGACCAAATTTGACTGAATTTTGGCATTAAAAATGGCCGCCAGTCGGCCATATTTGATGGAATCGGATAATAATACACATGTATGGTTGACCACTATGTCTTTGCACTAAGTTTCAAAAAAATTGGTCCAGCCATCTGAGAAATCACTCCGGACGGACTGATGAAGTCAAAACTACATGCCCCCTCCCGGACTTTGTCCGGAAGTGGGCTAAAAATGAATAAAATTATGTGGCTTTATTTTGTGAATGGTGACAAAAGTTGACTTTGGTGCTCAAAGGGTTAATTATATGCAAATTATCTAATTAATATGTACATACATTATATAGAACTATTTTGTGAATAGTGACAAAAGTTGACTTTGGTGCTCAGAGGGTTAATTATATGCAAATTACCTAATTAATATGCACATATGGTATATAGAACTATTTTGTGAATGGTGACAAAGTTGACCTTGGTGCTCAAAGGGTTAATGATATGCAAATTACCTAATTAATATGCACATACGGATATAGAACTATTTTGTGAATGGTGACAAAGTTGACTTTGGTGCTCAAAGGGTTAATGATATGCAAATTACTTAATTAATATGCAAATATGGTATATAGAGAATATTTTGTAAATGGTGACAAAAGTTGACTTTGGTACTCAAAAGGTTAACACGAAAAAATATGGCAGAAAATGTTGATGACATAATATTTACATTATGCGCTTCAAGGTTTTTTTATTGATATGATTATGTATGGCTGATACCTGATTGATAGCCATAATACATGCCACCTATATAACATAACTGTTTCATAAATATGACTTGTTGATCGTGCAAACATTTGAGATTTGTATTTACAGACCAATCAAATATGGCGACTTGTGGTGGTTATGGTCAGTACGTGGTTATTAGTCCCCATTCGAACACCTTCCAAAAATGGGGACTTGTGGATTGACCTCTGTCTGTGTTTGTGTTCGTGCATCTGGATCGACCTATAACTTTATTATGCCTGGACATATTACATTCGACCTTCACATATACGTCATAGATAATATTATACATATAATATTATACACAGTTGTTTCACGATCTGATTAAAGATGGCCGAATGGGACCATTTTTGTGCTTAAAAATCATCGAAATCAATCATTTCCAGCATTCCGGGGACTGTGCCAAGCATAGCTTGTTTTATTACATTTAATTGCTTTAAAACATGTCACAATTGTAAGAGTAGGTGAAGCATTTTTAGTAACTGGCAAATTTAAGGTAGAAGCTTAGTCATAATTGTTGACAAAATTGGTCATAAATCACATGACTATGTTCATTAGTTTATTTAGTTTATTATGTACAATCATGAAGCTAATGTCTCATGGTACAATGAAATAGCATTATTTTGTGAGATACCGTTAAGCTTTTTGAAAAACGTGTCCTAATATTTCTTAAAAATTGCTATTTTAAAACCTAGATTTTTAAAATAATTCAGAACAAAAAATACCCTATCATTAACAATATATGATTTATTGGCTAGATTTTGAGATATTGCATAATATATCTCTGTCATAGGAACCTATGGTAATATTTCTTGAAAATCGCAATTCCATAGAACACAATGTTATAAAAAAAATTGCATTTTTTGACGCTTTTTAAAATCTAGATCTTTTAAATAATTTTGAACAACAAAAAGTACTCTATCATTAACAATATATGAGGTCACCAGGCTAGATTTTGAGATATTGCATAATATCTCTGCCATAGGAATCTGTAGTAAAAGTGTTATAATAGTGTCAAAATGGCGACTTTCCACTAAAATACAACCATCAATTTCTCAAAAAAAAAAAAGGCTGGTGACCCCCAACTTTTTTTAAGTCAATATCCTTATATTGCCTTAGAGTACAGTTTATTGCAAAATGAATAAATTCTGGGTATTTT